GTCAGGTGGAAGTTTATGGGGAGTTGCTAGTGTAATATCACATAAATACCATTATAATTTTAATAGGTTTTTAATAGGATAATGTTATTTACCTGCCCAAAACTTACAAGATGCCTTCAACATTGTGCTCATAGTTTCAAATAAAAAAGTGAGCAAGATGGTCTCTGAATTCAAACATTGTATAATGATGTACCAAATTTACAAAAAAACCCAATATGAAAAGCAATGCCTTTTTTGCATGTACAAGACTCCAGGTTGGATCCCCAGTGTCACCTCCCCACCTGAAAAAGTGATGCAAATTCCAAACCATTTACAAGGCAAAAGTTACCACAGAACAGGCAACTATACTTTACAATAATTACTTTACTTTGTTTATGTGGGAGGGACATTTCAAAATACACAAAACTGAAATGTCTTCTGTGTATGTATGTAATGAGTGTGTGTGTGTGTGTGTGTGTGCATGTGTGTGATATGTAGGCACACTGGATTTTATTTTGGTATCTTCAAACAGGGTTTATTTCCATTATTCCTCCTGATTTCTCCTGTCCCCTTGTGCTCTTTAATCTTCTTCTTTCTTTTACTTACTTATTTACTTACTTAATTTTACATCATGACCACAGTTTCCCCTCCCTCCTCCATTCCCATTCCCTCTCTCCACATCCCCGCCATGCACTCCCTTCCAAACTCCAATCCACTCTTTCTCTGTTTCTGTTCAAAAGGGAGCAGGCACCCCATGAGTATCAACAAAGCATGACATATCAAGGTGCAATAAGACCAAACACCTCCCCTTGTATTATCGCAAGGCAATCCAGGATTAGGGATAGGTTCCTAAGAGACAGCCAAAACTTTAGGGACAGACACTGCTCTAATTGTTAAGAGTTCCCCAAGTAAACTGAGCTACAGAACTGTCACAGATATGTAGAGGATCTGAGTTGGTCCTATGAAGGCTACCTGACTGCTGGTTCAGACTCTGTGAGTTCCTAGGAGCCAGATTAGTTGTTTTTGTGGGTTTTCTTTTGATGTCCCCTATGGCTCCTAAAATCCTTCCTCCCCTTCAGCAGGACTCACTGAACCAAGTTTGGCTGTGGGTCTCTGTAGGGGTGAGCCCATAAAACTATCCTCTCAAAAGGGCAGGGATAGGGAGATTAGCACAGGTGGGCTATTTAAGGAAAAGAAAAATTCTCTCTCTCTCTCTTTGTAAGCCTGCCAAGATTCTGACCTTTCAGCTTGTATGTAGGTTCTTTCTCTGGTAAATAAATATGTTATATTCGATATTGCACCGACCTCCCTACGTCTGAACTGCTCCACATCATCAACTCCACCTGACAAGTACCATCCTAAAACTGGTTGGAACTACATCACTCGACATAACTCCAGAACAAAGAACTGATACAGTGCATCTTCTACAATCTGACCAGAGCTTCAGATAAGAGCTTCAATCAAAATTAAAACTTCAGTCAAGAACTTCAATCAAACATCTCCTGCCAAACAGAGACTAATTAACCTACTTAAGACTCTTGTTACACTAACATTTTCTACCCACAGGTCATCGTCCCATTTCAGCAGGAAGTGATTTTGAGAATTCCACGCCCCCTTTCCCTACTGTTGATATTACAGGATAGTTTACACTTTTTATGTTAGTGTTCAATTATTTTAGGGTTGGGATTGGAAGGAGGTATTCAGATTTGGGCACCCCTTTCAGATAAATTTATAATTTAGATAGGATAGATATGTTTAGCTTAGGATATAACTTACTTATCCCCTTCTATGTATATATGTTGTATATGTTTGAGTTTTGTATCAAGTTTAAATCTTCTATTTAGACTAGAAGGGGAATTGTAGGGGTGAGTCCATAAAACTATCTACCCAAAGGGTGGGGATAGGGAGATTATCACAGGTGTGCTATTTAAGGAAAAGAAAAGTTCTCTCTCTCTCTCTCTCTCTCTCTCTCTCTCTCTCTCTCTCTCTCTCTCTCTCTGGAAGCCTGCCAAGCTTCTGACCTTTCAGCTTGCATGTAAGTTCTTTCTTTGGTAAATAAATATGTTATATTCCATATTGCATTGACCTCCCTTGTCAGGTCTCTGCATCTGTTTCCATCAGTTACTGGATGAAGGCACTCTGTTAACAACTAGGGTAGTTACCAATCTGATCACAGGAGACAGTCAGTTCAGGCTATGTATTCACCATGGGTAGGAGTCTTAACTGGGGTCATCCTTGAAGATTCCTGGGTGTTTCCCTGGCACCAGGTTTCTACTTGGCCCCAAATGCTCCTCCACTTTTCAGTCACATTTTTCAGTACACCTCCACTCTATCCACCCCCTAACCCAACTCCTCAAGTTCTCATCCCCACCCACCCCCAATTCACCTAGTAGATCTCTTCTATTTCTCCTTGCCATGGTGCTCCATGTATTCCCTCCTTGGAGAATTTATTTATTTATTTAGTCTACAGAGGACTCTGTTGAGATTATAGCATTCAGCTAGAGAGGAAAGAACCTGGACTGAGGAAATGGTAAAGCTTCTATGTAACAAAAGGTCACCCAATGCTATCACAATGACCAAGGATCATGTGACAAGAAGACAGCAGAAGTAAGATTAGGGTCTAAATGGATGGTCAAAAGCAGCTTTAGACTCAGAGCAAGTTCATTCATTAAGGATTCTCTTATCTAATTAATCCAAACATATTTCACTCTTTTTTTTTCTTTTGCTGAGGTTGATGGTCCTTGCATGGGTCTGTCTAGTGATATGGATGTACATTCTATCCCTGTGCTCCAACCCACCTCTGCTGTAGTTTCTCCCCTCCTGGGAAGGCTATTTCAAGTGCCAATTGTAATGCTGACTTTACTCTTGTTTCAAGCTCCTGTTCTTTCTTCACTTGACCAATCCCTGGAAGATGAATTAGGCTCCTTGAGGTATTATGTTCTGAAGGGCTGTTTGTGTGATTGCCAGCTGTGGTCTGGGCTTTGTCACCTCACACCCTTACAACTCAATATGTGCACCCTACAGTGGCTTCACATCTTTGCATGACATGCTGTGTAAATGATGTTTTCAGGATATGGAAGCAAAGCTAAGCAATAGATTCAAAGTTTTCTGAAGATGCCCACAGACTTCCTTCCTGGGAAAGTAAGTGTAACTTGTAATTTTTAGTGTGAAACCGCCACTGAGAACTATTGTATGATCTCAGTAAGGCTGCTATTCAGGAACTTTAGGTTTATGTGTGGTGATAAGTTATCTCATCATCTTTAAAAAGAAGTTAAGTTTTTATTTACTTGTATTATCTACTAAACCTGTCCAAAGGCCAGATGTGGTATTAGCCATATCACATTTATTAGAATTGTAATTTGAAGTAGAATTTGAAATATGAATGCATATAAGCATTTTATAGTAGTAACACACAGAGAATGCCCTATAAATCTATTATCTTATAAACATTTATTTTTATTTTATTTGTGTATGCATGCCATGCCTCTGCAATGCTCATAGAGGGCAGATGGGGGTGCTAGATCCCTTGAGGTGTCAATTATAAGCAGTTGTGAGCCAACTGATGTGGGTGCTAGAAACTGAAATAAGCTCTTCAGGAATATTATATACTTTCCTAAATGCCATCTTTTAATCTCTAGTTAATATATTCCTACGACAGTAAAAGTGGATATGAGGTCCTTCTCCATGGGTCTAAGTCTGGTTATTTTTCTTTCTCTACACCTGTGTCATCTTTCTTGGATTGCCTTCATGAAAACTCTCTGAGTGGCCAATTAGCTGAGTGTGGAAGGTTGTTTCATTGGCTGGTTGGCCTATGTATTATCTATTTCAAGCTAATTCTGGAACTTGAACTCTTAATTAGTGACCACATTCTCTAAGAATGCATGAGATCAAGCACTTGGAGAACACTGGTTATTTGTGTGTGCCTGTCTTATCTTGCCTGTGACACTGTAAACTCAATGGTGACTCTGAACCATTCAATCATGAATTCATTCAGTAAATATTTGTCAAAGAAAGCATCCACACTCCTCCTAAGGATGGCTTCTGGTTGAAGGTAGCTTTACACACAAACATTTACTCAATCCTCCATAACTACTTATTTAAATATCTAAACCATTTACTTATTAAGATGTAAGTTTTGTGAGGGAGGACTGGACTTTTTCCACGCCTGTCCCCTTGGCACCAACAGTACTGAATAGAGTAACCATAGCACTATTTGTATGTGACCATGGGCACATTTTTCCTCTGAGAACTTGATGATGGCGGGGCTGTGCTTTGCACCTACATATTACCTGATCACAAATCCTCTGGGATAGATCTTTGATTTATTCTAATGGGATAGGTAACTGAAGTCATTTGGAAAGACTGAGGTCCTCCTGAATGAATTAGGACAACTGAGACTGTCCAAAGGCCCAGCTTCCTCCAGGAAGCTGTCAGAGAAAAATATCAGCATGAAGATCAATATTAGTGCCAGTGTCAACAAAATCTCCGGGTGCATGGATTTGTCTCAAAACACAGCAGATAAGACTGAGCCCTGACAGTTTTCCAGGCTCTACTCAAGGCATTTCAGATGTGTCAGTAGCCAAAATAGTAATGTTCCTTCTGCCATCTGATAAAGCTTGCAGTCTTGGTCGGGAAAAGGAAAACCAACAACCCTAGTGAGCAAGTGAATTCTGTGCAGAGGTGAGTGCCAAAGGGGAGAGTGGACCCTAGGTGAGCAAATGGGAGGATTATTTCAAGGTAGAAAATGGAGGTCATTGAGTAGATGATACCCTGAAAATAAGGAGTAACCCTAGCAAAGGACGAGGAATAGTTTAGCGAGTTAGAATATATCTGAGTCCAGAGAGAAGTCAGCCATGTTGTAAGAGGGAAAGCAGAGGTTTGTTGACTTTCAGGTACGGCTTACAATTTAACTCTTAAATAGAACTTGAGTAAAATCAAAGAAAAAGTTATCACTCAGAAAAAAAAATTAGAAAGCATTTCCAATGAAACGATATGAAGGTATCCCGAGATTCTTATCTTACCGTTTTTACTGATGTCGAGTTCTTTCAGATTAACTAGGCTGGCAATAGAGGTCGGCAGACTTGAGAGGTCATTGTCAGGAATGCTTAATTTCCGCAGAGCTTGACAGTTGAACAATTGCTGTAACAGAAAAGAATAACTCACTAGTTTGGCCACAGTTTGATGAGACCATGCCTGAACTCAGTAGAAAACTGGAAGTTATCATTTTTTTTTTTAAATCACTGTGATGGTAAAAGAACCATTAATAAAGCCTCACTTTCTTGCACACCCAGACTGGAACACAAAACCATCCAGCCGTTGGTGCCATACAGACATAAACAAAACAGAATGAAATGAAAACGAGGCAGACAGAAACCTCGGGGAGCTGCAGCCTGAGTTCTCACAGCTAAAAGGGAATCTGCCTTAGCCCTCTTTATTTTGCTGTTGTGTTAGATTTCAGAAAGTCTCACTTCCACTTCGTCGTTCTAAATAAATACTTGCATGTAGCACGAATAACAATAAGACAGATGTTGGTGCTCAAACTGAAGACCAGAAAAGCAAAGCAGCCGGCCACTAGAGAGCTCTCACTTCTTCCAATGCTCGGACCAAAGGGGTGACCCACTGAACCTGCTCCCGACTGTACTGCTGCTCAGATTCGCTGAGGCTGTTAGGAGATCCTGTCTCTTCCTTCCTTACATTCTTCTTGCCTCCCAGCCATATCACTCCTGTTTCCACCTCCCTACTGCTGGAATTAAAGGTGTGAGCTCTGTTTCTCTTTTAGACTGATTCACTCTCCTGTAGCCCTGGGTGGCCTTGAACTCACAGAGATCCATCTTCCTCTGTCTCCAGAGTCTTGGGATTAAAGGTGTGTGCCTCCCCACCCCTGCTGCCTGGCCTTTATGGCTAATGAGTGTGGTTGCTGGGGTTAAGGGTGTCTGACCTTTATGGCTGTGGCTAGCTTTGCATTCTGATCTCCAGACAAGCTTTATTAGGTCATAAACAATATATGACTATACTTACTTATATATTATCAAGGGTTATGGCACATCAGAATACCTACACTCACATTTTTTTGTGTCCCCTCGCAGTGACTCATAAATCATTATTGGATGAAACATGGAACAAAAATTCAATCAGGCTCAAAGGACTAGGTTGGGGAGAACCAAGTGCTACAATTGGTTCTGGAGCCAAGTGTGGTCGCAGCCACTAGTGGATTGAGGTGTGTTTCAGGGGTTTCTTGATCCCCTTGACAAGTCAAGAAACAGGGTAAGGCAACCTGCATTTTCAGCATGACATTAATTTGGGTGATTTGATGTAGGTGTTTCCAGTACCACACTGTGAAAAACAACAACTTTATTTTTTTAAAGCTCTGTTCAACTCATCTTGATTAATAAAGACATGAGCAGTTGGAAGAGAATTTTTTATTCATTTCTAGAAGAATTATCTTAATGAGATCTTTTCTGACATTTCTAACTCTGTTTTCCTGAACTTTCACAGATGAAGTCTGGTAATCATGACTATGCAGTTGGCCAATGGTATATTTAACTACCATTTCTTCCTACACATAATTCCTTATTTATAGGAAAAAACAATGTAGCATACGGCTGTTATTTCTTAACTCATTAGCTTTTTAGAAAGGAAATCATACGACTTCTTACATAAGAGGAAATATGAAATCTCTTACTTTGGGTTAGTCATCTTGGGTTCCTTATAAAGACTATTTGCTACTCGACATGATGCCAGAATTACGTTTTTCATCATCTTATATAGAGATGGACTTCTTCTTTTTATAAAACTTTGAAAGAGACGCTTAATGCATTCTTTGAAAGGCATTTCACCTAACCAAATAGGAAACACATGGCTACAGTCCCGGAAGTTACTATCAACTCGCTTCCAGGCTGTGCTATCTAGTAAGACAGTGATGTGTGCTGTATGAACATGCAATGTGGTTAGTTACAGTTTCACAGTCAATTATCTCACCATTTCTGCTGATCACTACAACCATTTTGACGAACATTAAAACTAGAAGGTTTTTAAAATAGAGTCTTTTGAGTCTTATTATATAACAACTAATTTCTCAAGTGCATTCAAGATTTAGTAGAAGTCCCAGTATGCTTCAATTTTGAATTAAGTGACACCAAAATTGTTTTAAAAAGAAAGCTCCTTCACATGCTCTACCAGGGAGAATGCAGGCAAGAGCAGGCACTTGACCCTAGATCACTGTCTGTTCAAGCCTGACTCTTATGGTGGTGTTATCACTGAACTCAGCAGTTCTCTTGGCTGTAGAGTAGGAATGCTTAGCCATACAACTCAAGCCTTGAGAGTGAAAGATGTTAATACAGGCTATCAACTCTAAGCCTCACAGTTTTATTTTCTACTAATGTTTTTGATGTTTGGAATGTACCATGCAATCAAGAGTAAGTTACTTTTGAGGGCTGTCCTATTGTCCAGATTCCCTGCACTAATGATTTAATCTCGTAATACAGGTCTTAGATTTGGTGAGCGAAGTCCTTGTGAAGCTATAGTGTCCAGGCACGTCAGGTGACTGTTAGCAATTAAAAGTACATTGATGGCTGGGCGGTGGTGGTGCACGCCTTTAATCCCAGCACTCGGGAGGCAGAGGCAGGTAGATCTCTGTGAGTTTGAGGCTGGGCTGGACCGACAGCCTCCAAAACAATACAGAGAAACCCTGTCTCGTAAAAGCAAAAAACAAAAAAAGTACATTGATGTACAGTACGACGGCCTGTTTGCTACCTTTCTAAACAAAACAGTCTCTCTGGAGGTAGAGTTCTGCTCAGCTTGCCTGCCTATCTCATATTTCTCCTTCCCATTTACCACAGGACACTTTCCTGTCCACAGCTTGTGCTAAGTCAATAATTTTGAGAGTGCCGATAATTAAAGGGAAAGTGAGAAGACTGTCAGACTCCTGCTGAGACAAGCAGTTTTGGACAGGAAGCTTCAAAAGGGTAAACAGTCTCAGGGGGGTCTGCGTTTCCTAGATCAAGTTTGCACAGCCTTCTCAAGATCCTAGCTTTAAGTGAAAATGATGTTGGATCATTATAAAACAGCTGTATTCTTCAGTATAAGGCAAATAAACACAATTGATAGCAACTTAGAGTCAAACTGTTAATTATATGGCTCACATTTTAAAGACAATAGAAATGTTCTGAATCTGAAAATGCATGTGTGCTAGAGTGCTATTTCTCTTTAGCCAGGGAAGCAATTTACACGCTGAAGAAATTTTGGGGGGTCTCTGCAAACACCATGGCTAGCAGAGTGACAATCTGTATGAGGCAACAAGGAAGTCTAGTTCAACACAACTCAGTAGGTGGTGTTGGTTCAAACTTCTAGGGTCTGACTCTAGGCTGTTTATTTTATTTTAGACATATTTAAGCACAGCACAATTTTGGAAAAAAAGTTTTCTGATGGTAATCAACCCATGTGCACAACAAAGCTTAACACATATTTATATTGAAACTCTTTACCAAGGACATACCACCACATCCATAAGGACGTGACTGAGAAACAACGCTTAATATAAGGGTCTAGGAAGAGTGACTGAGATAAACACAGAAGTCTGAGGGAGTCAGGTGTGACCTGGCCCTATCGATAGCACAGAGGACACCTAGGCTATTGTAAAGTACATGTGACATCTCCCATAAGGTTCTGTAGTGATATATTATTTATGATTTAATAAAGATCATCTGAAATATCAGAATGCAAAGCCAGCCACCCTAGTTGGCTATAGAAGTTAGACAGTGGTGGTACACACCATTAATCCCAGGACTCAGGAGACAGAGGTAGACAGATCTCTGTTAGTTCAAGGCCACACTGAGCTACACAAAATTGATCCAGTCAAAAAGAGAAACACCTCATACAAAGGAGATCTCAGTACTTGGAATCCCATGGCTTTAATCCCAGGATTTGAGAGGTAAAAAAGGAATAAGCAAATGATGCCAAGAGAGATTTTTGTCTCCAGTCACATTGAGGAGAGGAAGCAGTTTGGGATTGTAGTCTGAGGTTTGGTGGAGAGCATTGTCTCTGAGGATTGATGGAGGCAGGATTGCCATTTCATCCTGAGGTAGAGGTAAGAGCTAGTGACTTGGCTGCTTTGCTTTTCTGATCTTCAGCTTGAAGCTTGAAACCCAATATCAATCTCTAGATCTTTATTTTTCCGTATCACAGGTTTGGTTCTATTGACTGTCAAACAATGCTCAAGATGAAAGTCTAGGCTAAATATAATAGTGTGGGTGAATCAAGGTGTAGCCTGGCCCTACAGATAACATAGGTCACCATCATCAGGCTATAATCCATTCCCAGCCTTTTGGGTGAAAAATAGGCTATGCATCTTTTCCCTTGAAGAGACAATCCTGCGTGTTTAATGTTCCTGGCTTCCCTAGTGATTACCTGTGAGCAGGAGGAACTCTTGCTCTCTAACTTCTATAAAGTATTGTTTCACTCATTAATTTTTAGGGAACTGTTTGCTTAGGTCTGCCACAAACTAGGCTTATGTGACGGTGTGTACAAGGAGTATTGCATGAGATTCTAGGAGCCATCCCTGGGGAACCAGACTCTGCTCGAATACTCAGGCACACATGGGGGTATCAGAAATGCACACACAGGATCTGGGTTGGGACAGAAAGTCAGAAACCTGAGGAAGCTCCTCTAAAAGGAGTTATGGAAAGAAGGAACCTTGAAAGAATCTGCAGCGAGTGGGCCTAGAAGGTGGTGATGCTAACCTTCTCTCAGTTGTCATTTCAAACTAGTTTTAGACATTCACTTGGTAGGATGAAGGGATCTGGATCTTGGAGAAAGTTCCTTGATTCTGTATGCTGGTTATATGCTGGTTGTCAGTATTGCCCTCAGGAGCCAAGCTGAAGAAAACATAAACTGTCTCTGAACCAAGGAAATAGACAGGACTTTATCAGCCAACAAAGTTTCAGTTATCCTGGGATAAATTGGAAAGTGCTGAATATGCAGTGAAATTATGCCCTTTGAGTTGCCACAGCAAAACAACAACTACAACAACAAAAAACTGCAAAGTAAGGTGTTTAATATGTTGAGATAACTAAGGCATGAAGGCATGATGATGAACTGAGATTATCAAAGAGAAGTCAGTGAAGGAGAAGATTACAAGAGAT